TGGAGACGGCTCTTCATCAGGGACTGCAGTGATAGGACAAGGGGTGATGGGTTCAGACTGAAACAGGGGAAGTTGGATGTAAGGAAGGAGTTCTTCCCTGTCAGGGTGCTGAGGTGCTGGCATTGGGGAGAAGCCACTTCAGCTTCAGCTTAGCTCTGCTCTAGGGACCTAGGGATCTCCAACCAGTGCCACCAGAGACTGAGTCAGCTTCCAGGCATCAAGTGCTCTTCCAGAGGAGCAAGCTCAGTTTTGAATACCTGGAAGAGACCACCAGCCTGGAGGGTGGGTGCATGCAAAGCCGATGCCTTTTTGCTTCCTTACAGCAAACCTTCATCTGTCTTGGGACTGCACCTTGTAGGGGCTGCATGAAGTCATCTAGATAATGTATTGAACTGATTTTCTCCTGCACAACACCACATTGCGGTTTGTTCCATCCTGGGGACTAGAGACAAGCTAAACAGTGGTAAAGCATTCGGGTTTTAGAAGGGGTTTCACTGGAGGAATGAATCCTCTGTAAGTGTTTGAAACATAAATGAGCTAATGCATTTTAAATGGGGTTGATTACTGAGGAAGACCGGTTCATCCAAGTCTTCTACAACTGTGCTGATTGTTGGGGAGCTTCCTGCAGTTCTTAGCCATGGAGATGTTCAGGTAAGCACTGCAGGATGTGAAATCCTTAGGGGAAAACCTACAGATTCAGCACATACCACTGCATGTTTTTTTCCCCCTCAAGAAATGTATCTCAGACAAAGCATCTCCTGCTTCATTCACATTTTATGGACTGTCTTCTCAAATACACATCAGTAATCAGTTCACAAATGAGTTTCAGGCAGAGAAATGCAACTGGATTTGAAACGTGAGAGCTCTACAAGCTCTCTATGGAAATAAACCTCATCTCTTGGCACTCTTCAAAGAGGCATGTTTGTGTCCATCAGTGTGTGGATGCAGGAGCCATCACAGAATGAAGGCAAATGCTTCCAAATACACTGGAATTCTGAGCAGTGACACCAGATTCAAAGGGATAGGGTGAAAATGAAACTCCTCAGAGGAGACTTCTTCATAACTTCTCTGTATATCTGTGAAGTATCAGTTCCGGTGTCCTCACCATATAAAGGACATGGATCTGCTGGAACAAGTCCAGAGGAGGCCATGAGGATGCTCAGGGGCTGGCGCAGCTCCTGTATGGAGCCAGGCTGAGAAAGTTGGGGCTGTTCAGTCTGGAGAAGAGAAGCTGCGTGGAGACCTCAGAGCAGCTTCCAGTGTCTGAAGGGGGCCTATAGGGATGCTGGGGAGGGACTCTTCATGAGGGACTGTAGTGATAGGACAAGGGGTGATGGGTTCAAACTGAAACAGGGGAAGTTTAGATTGGATATAAGGGAGAAGTTCTTTACTGTGAGGGTGGTGAGGCACTGGAATGGGTTGCACAGGGAGGTTGTGAATGCTCCATCCCTGGCAGTGTTCAAGGCCAGGTTGGACAGAGCCTTGGGTGCCATGGTTTAGTGTGAGGTGTCCCTGCCCATGGCAGGGAGTTGGAACTCGGTGATCTTAAGGTCCTTTCCAACCCAAACCATTCTGTGATTCTATGATTTATTTTCCACAGTCTATGTCTGAAAGCAGTATTTATCACTCCTGTCAACACTATATATGGACCCCAGCAGCCTGCCCTAGAATAAATCTGATTGCAGGTATTCACTGCCAGTGAACTCAAGCAGCAGTTTATACCCAGCAACCCAGTTACAATACGGTAACTACAGCAGCACATATGTTTGGTGTTTTAAAGCACATGCAAATCGAAGCAATGCTTTCTGCTCCTGACAAGGTATTAGCATCACTCTTGGCATGACCAACACTTAAGGTGCATAATAGGAGATTAAAATTGGAAAGGACCAGTGAGTCATTCTAATTGCAGCCTCTTTCTGTAGCAAAATTGTTGTCTCCGTTGTTATCTTGCTGGGTTTATTCCTGAACACATCAAGTTTATGTATTCCTGAACACATCAAGTTTATGTATTCCTGAACACATCAAGTTTATTTATTCCTGAACACATCAAGTTTATTTATTCCTGAACACATCAAGTTTATTTATTCTCCCCTTCTAAATCCTGGGTTTCTTCTTAATGTGAACTCTTTCAGGTGTAACTTTTCCCACCTATTTCTGTTGTTTCCCTACCATCACCTGCAGCAATGAATGCTCCTCCCTGCGACCCTTAAGAGCGACACAAACCAAAGATATCTTAATATTTACGTATGGTTTTAGTTCCTTCACTGTAACTGGACATTGTTGGATATTTAAGAGTGATCAAACCTAAAACCAGAGAGAGAATTCTTCCTGGACAACATTAGGATGCTTCACAATAATCTTTTTATCATCTAAGAAATCCCACTGTGCTATGCATATGCCCATCTCCAAAATGCCATTAGACTACAGCTTATAAGTTGTTTATAGCCTCCCCTAATTGGTGGTTTTCTGCTCTAGCACTACTGGTCCCGCTATTCAGTCACTCTCTCAGCATCTAGGCCATTTAAATGCAAAGTGAAGGACTTGGCCTCATTTTGTACAGAAAGGTGTCAAGGGAGATGTTAAGGACATATGGCAGGATCAGAATGGGAGTTATAGAATCATAGAATAGTTAGGGTTGGAAAGGACCTTAAGATCATCAAGTTCCAACCCCCCTGCCATGGGCAGGGACACCTCACACTAAACCATGGCACCCAAGGATTCGTCCAACCTGCACCAAGATATGGAACGACTTCAAACTTTAAGGGAAAAAACCTCACTAGATCCTTTCATGATTCTCAGACCCCTATAGGAAAACATTCAGTTTGTTCTGAGAGGCAGTACTCCACTCAACAGTGAAGTGGAAGTTTAGATTGGATATAAGGCAGAAGTTTTTTACTGTGAGGGTGCTGAGGCACTCGAATGGGTTGCCCAGGGAGGTTTTGAATGCTCCATCCCTGGCAGTGTTCAAGGCCAGGTTGGACAGAGCCTTGGCTGCCATAGTTTAATGTGAGGCATCCCTTCCCATGGCAGGGGGTTGGAACTGGATGATCTTAAGGTCCCTTCCAACCCTAACTATTCTGTAATTCTATGTTTCTGCTAATAAATGCCAACCAAATGCTTTCCATGTCTAGGGATGGGGTAGTGCTGCACTAGATGTGGCTTTGTGCATGTTCTCTTTGATTCAGGAAAGCTTGTGAGAAGAAGAATCATCAGTGGTAAACAAAAGCAAGCTACTTGGAGAACTGCACTATAGTTCTGGTGGTCCCAACATAAGAAGGACCTGGAGCTGTTGGAACAAATCCAGAGGATGCCACGAGGATGCTCAGGGGCTGGAGCACCTCCTGTGTGGAGCCAGGCTGAGAAAGTTGGGGCTGTTCAGCCTGGAGAAGAGAAGCTGCGGGGAGACCTCAGGGCAGCTTCCAGTGTCTGAAGGGGGGCTACAAGGATGCTGGGGAGGGACTGTTCATTAGGGACTGGAGTGATAGGACAAGGGGTGATGGGTTAAAACTGAAACAGGGGAAATTCAGGTTGGAGATAAGGCAGAAGCTCTTCCCTGTGAGGGTGCTGAGGCGCTGGCACAGGGTGCCCAGAGAAGCTGTGGCTGCCCCATCCCTGGCAGTGTTCAAGGCCAGGTTGGACACAGGGGCTTGGAGCAAGCTGCTCCAGTGGAAGGTGTCCCTGCCTGTGGCAGGGGTTGGAACTGGATGATCGAACTGGATGCTCTCACCACCTACACCTCTAGAGCTCCAGAAAAGAAGGTAAACAAGAGGCAGCTATGTAGTTGAAAAGCCAACAAATGCCTTGGAGAGGGAACATTCCTATAAACAGTCATTATAACGTAACTCACAGACTGCAAAATTAGGGAGCAGCTACAATTTTAGCTTAGCATGTAGTTTGAAATAGCAACTGCGTTTGTGTAACATATGTTCGACTGCAATCGCAAGTGATTCACTCGCTGCTTATTTCATGTACTCAATTATCAAGCAGAAAAACTGTGGCATTATAAATAGTCATGCTTAAAGATGTTTGTTCTGCTTTGCAGTATAGAGTTATCTCAAGTTTTAGGAGTCCTCCCAAAGCCTCTCTTCACTCCTGTCTTTATACTGGCTGGGAATTTTGCATCTCTCTGTATGCAGAAGTGATTTTGCATCTCTCTTCGTATTAAAGATGGGTTAAAGCACTCCAGGAGTAAACCTGGGTTCAATTCTCTTCTTATCCTGTGGGGATTGAAACCCCTGTGTCCATGTCATAGAATTACCCCAGTTACTGTCTAGGCCAGGTTGGAGCTCTCTTTAAAGGAGCTGTATAACTGCTTTTAGTGTGGGTGTTGCTACCATCCAAAGAGAAGAAAAGAGGGTGGGTGCAAAAGTGAGGAGTAAATGCTCTACATTAAACTATGCACAGTGTTCTTATGGACTCCTCTTACTTGCCTTTGACCAGAAAATGCAGTAATGCTTCAACTCTCTTATTTTGCTGAAGCAGAATGGGGCAGCACTGATTCAAGAGGGGAGGACAGACTTTCCCCCCTTTCCAATGAGATTTAAACCAAGTGCTCTTACCTTTGGGTAAACTCAAGCTGACAGGAAATAAACTACTAGAGACAGGCAGTATTTTAGTCCTGACATACAAGAACTCCTGTTACAGACCAGGGGGATCTATCCTCAAGGGCATAGGTTAAAAAGAAATGCTGTTAAGTCCCCAAAAGCTCTGTGGGATAAACTCAGCAGAAGCATATCTGTTGCAAGGCCTAGATTTAATGAAGAAGGGTTCATGTATGGAGCTTTACAGATCATACTACTATTAGTATTATAGATCATCGCTGTGAATGTCCAACTGACTCATGTCAGAAACAAGATTCACACAGGAGTCACTTTACTTTGTCAGTGGCAGGCAGCAACCCCTGGAACAGATTACTCCCACTTTATAGTTCAGGATGGATGGGGAAAATGGAGTTCTTCCTAATGCAACTAAATCTAGAAGAATATAGTGACTCAGGCCCCAAAATCCTGTTTAAAAACCTCCCAAGCTGCCGGGTTTAATGGTTCTGAGGGCTTCAAGCCCAGGCAGTGCTTCCTAACAACATGGTCCCATGTACATCACGCCAGTTTAGCACTAAGTCACATATGGGCAGTGGTTTGTAACAGGCTGCCAATAGCTGCAGCATGGGCATTTTTACCATGACCATCCTTTGTGTTCCTCCTGCAGATACAGCTTGGGACAGTAAAAATAGCTTTAGCTCACTGTTATTTTTTACACCAGTAACAAAAAGCTTCTTTATGCTTGTTCGCAGGTCAGCTTGATGTAACGACAGGAGAGTTACTTTGGGAAACAAGGACATGAGCAACACTGAGCTTTGCAGCCCCGTGCTAAGAACTTTTGGAAGCAATAAAGCTTCTAAATGCAAACCTTGATTATTCCATTTTCCCTTCTATCTCATTAGAGATAATGGGAAATGTTCCAGAGGGTCTCTCATGCACACATAGCAATCTGGTTAGGGAAAGACAGCTAAGATACTCCTAAACATAATTAGCTAAGGGCGAACCACCTTGAATGTGGTGCAAATGATGTTTAGGACTAGCATGCAGCTAAGATATTATGATCTTTGTTATAGCACAGACTAGGTGTGGGGGAAAGGACTTGACCATTGTCATCAACCTCTGGTTTCTCACTGCCTTACCTCCAACTCTCTGACACCGAAGCCAAGCAAGCAGGTAAAATGCTGGCTCAGTGACCTGACCATTTCACAGTGATGTAAAAGAAATGGCTCAGTGTACCAGGATAGGAAAAGAGAGCCTCTGGTTTTGTGATAGGAATGTCTGATAGGAATGTTGTCTTTTCAGATGGAATCCATCTTTCCCAGAGAGCATCCCATGCACTCCAGGGGATGGGAGCTGTGCCTGAAGAAGAGGCTCGAATGCTTAGGAGATATTTGTGGGTCTCTGCCCCCAAATCTGTCTCTACCACAGAATTTCAGCAGCATCCTGTAGACAAACATTAACATTGTAAGAGAAAGAAAAGGTCTGGTTGTCTTGGATGCCTTTGGAATGTGGAAGTAAAGGTTTAAGAGCATCCAAAGCGCAGATTCCCCCACCAGCCACAATGTTCTCAGTTTGTAAGAAGGCCATTCTCTCTGCTATGGCTTTCTTGGTCATTCCCCATGCCAGGCACATCATTTAAACAGGGGCTTCCTCACAGGGTTCAGAAGAACCCCAAGCCGTCTTCAGATGGTGACAGAAATCCTTTGTTGAACCCAAAGAGACAGGATCCCTTACTTGCAGTCTGCACCATCCTTTACAGCTTTACCGAGTGCTTCATTGAGTGCTGCATGAGAAGCACATGGCTTCTTCTCTGTGGATCCAACCAAGCTTCCTGGGTGCTCTGCACGAGTGATATCGTCATGACATGGAAAAGTGCACCCATGGCTCTCTGTTGCACTGCAGCTCCATGGCATCTTTCACTGCATCTGTTGTACAGATACATGCCAAACCTTGGTTGGTGAACCCTCACATCCCCTTGCAATAGAGGTTAAGGATCACTCCCCTTTTCCAGCTGGAAAACGTAGGAAAGACAGAAGTTAAGTGATTTTCCCACAATTGTACAACAGGTACAAAGAGGTGGAGGCAAAGCCAGTCCTTAATTCAGGTGCTAGACAATATTCCTTCCGTGCAGAACATGGACATCATCTGAAAGGTCGTACTGGTAATTACATTAAAGGAAAATCATCTCCCTGTTAGTGACTCTTAATCCAGATAAGCATGATTCTGAATTAGCTTGTGTGTTTTAAAGGGAACCACTTAACCCGTGTTATCTCCATGCTGGCACCATCATAAACCAGCCATTCCTACTTGTACCGAATTAGGCGAATAATCTTATTATTCATGAAGTCTGAAGTATGTGGATGAGAAGAATCTATGCAGAAACCATCGCTCATGGCTATTTTTAGCACTTCTTCCACAAACACTTGGAAACTATTGATTTGCTTGTTGTCTGGCACCACCCAGAGTCTCTTTAAGTTCTGCCTGGTGTATTCCTCTTCAGGAAGGCCTTCCACACTTGCCACCCAATCTAAGGTCAAATGGTTGGGGTCCTGCAAGTAGCTGGATATCGACGAGAGGTTTCCATTGAAGCAATAGTAAAGTTTGGAACCGAGGAGCTTCAGGAACAGGCATGACGTGGAGAAGATACGAGCGCTGAACACTTCCATGTTGGAGGAAGACAGGCTGTAGATCTGGGGTGCTTCTCGGACGGTGAAGTGAACGGTCTGGGTCTTCTGATCGAGGCTGATGTTGAGCATGGCGTTTTTCTCTGCTTTAGAAAGCTCCACCTCCTTCTCTTGCAAGGCTTCAATCAGGGGCTGGATCTGATAAAAATCTACTTCCCTTCGGAGTAAACCCATTTCCTGGAAGTCTTCAGGAAGGTCCAGGTGGGAAGTTCTTAAGAAGTTCAGGATGTAGCGGAAGATTTTGCCATCTCTGTCAATAAAGCAGTTGCCTTGGCTGTCCTTCTTGGTTGGGATCTTCCCACTAAACATGGCCCCCAGCATGGAGTCTGGGAAGCTCGTCAGGGTGGACAGGGAGGTGGTGTAGAGTTTTCCTCCAACATTGAGCGTGATGGGTTCTGACATGATGGAAAAGTCACGACGTTGAGACTGATTCTAAAAAACAACATAAGAAAGAATCCAACACCACACATTCAGTTGTTTATCTCTTTGAAAGGTTAAACTACAGAGATAGAGCCCTAAATATAGAAGGGTAAACTACATGGCAATGATTCATCATAGGAATTAGAAGTGGGGATTACTTTTGGAGGTTGTATCTTCAGAACAAGCAGAAGGATGTTTTTTTCTCCCAACAGACTTAAACAGGACTTTGTTTAGTTCAGTTTAATGCTAGAAATCATGAGTCTTCCAAAGCTTTACAATCACGCTGGAAGTGCAATCTCTCCCATGGATTCCTGCAGCTGAACAACTGGCTTCAAAGCAAGAGTTGTCTTCTGGGCTCACCTGATCCCATCTCCCTCATGAACACAGAGTTTAGAGGGGAAGCAAAAAGACAAGAGGCAAACTGGACACATCCCAACATCTTCTTTGGCATCTGAAGATACAACTAAAGCAACAAAGCTGTTGTAGCAGAATCCCCTGACACACACTTGAGTGCAGTTGGCCAACAAGCAGTGCTGCTCTAAGCACATGCTTAGAGCATTCCATTCAGCAGGAAACCCACCAGGCTTTCTCTTTGCAATGTGTTTTAGCTTTGGAAACACCTCCTAATTAATCTGCGCCATGTCTCAGCTGATGTCGGTTCCACACAGCTCCTCTGCAGTCAGCTGAGATGAATGGAGGATGGGATTTTATGGTGCAGTGAAGCATCACTGCCTCTGGAAGGGACATTCCTCCCTTAGCCCTCCACTAAACCTTCCCTTCCCCTTATGCCAGCTCTGGCACTCATCTGATCCCACAGTGAGCCAGTTCAGGGAGAAAACCCCATCATTTTCTATTCAGAATATGCTTCTGCTACATCTTAAAACTGGGCTGGACAGGGTGCTGGGACATAGGATCATAGAATAGTTAGGGTTGAGAAGGACCTTAAGGTCATCAAGTTCCAAACCCCCTGCCATGGGCAGGGACACCTCACACTAAACCATATTACCCAAGGCCTCATCCAACCTGGTCTTGAACACTGCCAGGGATGGAGCATTCACAACCTCCCTGGTTTAAACCACGGCAGCAACCCATTCCAGTGTCTCAGCACCCTCACAGTAAAGAACTTCCTTGTTATACCCAATCTAAACTTCCCCTGTTTCAGTTTTAACCCATCACCCCTTGTCCTATCACTACAGTCCCTGATGAAGAGTCCCCCCCCCCAGCATCCCTATAGGTCCCCTTCAGATAGTTTATGCTTTACCTAGAAAGGTTGGACCAGATGATCCTTGAGGTCCCTTCCAACCCAGTATTTTGTGATTCTGTGATCTTGGAACCAGATGGATACCAGGGCTCCTGCAAGGGAAAAGGAAGGAGCAAAGTAGCCCCTTCCATTGCAGATCAACTCAGCTGCCTCATTCCTGCTAGCTCAGAACCTGCAAATCTGGTTTTCCTTGTCTGCTGAATCCAAATCAATCAGTTCATTCCCACTTTTATTATTGACTTTATCAGCAGGAAACCCATTACAGTTTCCTTGCAGAGGCTCATGCTAATCCCAACTATGCTCATTTAACAGAAAGCAGCCAGACAGCTCCCTTAAAATTAAACTTAAGTGCAGGCATTTTCCTAACTAGTCATGGGACAATCATAGACACTACAATGCTATTATCAGCTCTGGAGCCACAGCAAAACAGAGATAGGAAGAATGTCATCTTGCTCTGGAATATCAATTCTTTTACGGCTGCTAAACCCCAAATAATAGTGTTAATGGCACCCTAAAACAAATATACCTCTAGATAGCAAGAACATTTTGCTATGAAGAACTTGCCTGACCTAGGGCAGATAATGAATAGGTCAAAGGAGAATCTGTACTTCACTTCTAGTTTAAGGCTAACGTTCCACTCTGTTCTTTAGTCCACTTTAGCCCTTAGCACACAGTGTCCATCTCACTGCACAGTAATTAAGGGAAAGAAGCAGACCTCTAAATCCACCGGGTGCTTTGCCTGTGTATCCCTTAGTCCCACATATCCAAAAGAGCTGGCAAATAAAGATGCATGCGTAGCCCAACACAACATCCCATCTATGCCATGAGCAAAGACCATCCTTGTGACTAACCTCAGCCAAATATACCCTAAAATAAGCTATTTGTTCCAGCGCTAATCTCCCTTTAGCACTGTCATCTCAGTGTACTTCCCATTCTGGAAGACTTCTACCCAATTTAGAACAAACTGCTGTTTAAAACAGATCACACAGAGGCTTCAACGTGTCTAATTCTGTTGTACAAGTGGCTGTGTGTATTTTTTTCCCCTAAGGGCTTGCAATATGTCTGCTAAAGCACTGCTACAAGCACGATCTGACATTCACAAAACCAACTTAAAATGGATTTTACTCTTTTATCCAAGTTGCATCAAACAAAAGCATTGCCTATATGTCCCTCCAAACAACACAGCCTGCAGGAGCAGGCCTGCCAATGACCCCAAGGGCCATGTTCATTGCTTCCCATCTCTGCTACCCCTCAGGATGCTTCAGACTGAACAATCCAAATGATTCTGTTCTTTCTTCATAGCTTGTGTTTTCAGATTCAGGAGCCCAAGCTTGCTTATCGACACCATGGGAGTAGTTTTCTCATGTTCTCTTAGCCAGATGCAGAGTGAGATGTTACTCTCTGTATGTACATGACAGGCTTCACTTGCTAGAGTGAAGGGACATTCTCTCATCAAGAGTCACAACCTAAAGCCCACTGGATGGTCCAAAGATTTTCACTTCAAACTCAACATCCTTCATGTTTAGGGGGCCTATAAGGGTGCTGGGGAGGGACTCTTCATTAGGGACTGTAGTGATAGGACAAGGGGTAACGGGTTCAAACTGAAACAGGGGAAGTTTAGATTGGATATAAGGAAGAAGTGCTTTCCTGTGAGGGTGCTGAGGCACTGGAATGGGTTGTCCAGGGAAGCTGTGAATGCTCCATCCCTGGCAGTGTTCAAGGCCAGGTTGGACAGAGCCTTGGGTGCCATGGTTTAGTGTGAGGTGTCCCTGCCGATGGCAGGGGGGTTGGAACTGGATGATCTTAAGGTCCTTTATAACCCTAACCATTCTATGGTTCTATGATTCTACAAGTACATTCTGATCCAAAGACTCACTGGCAATACAGCTTGGGTAAGAGGCAGACATCTCAATCCGGTTGTCCTGGTTTCAGCTTGGATAGAGTTAATTTCCTTCCTAGTAGCTGGTGGAGCGCTGTATTTTCCATCTAGGATGACAATAACGTTGATAACACACTGAAGGATCCCTTCCAACTCGACCTATCCTATGATTCTGTGATGGTTTAGTTGTTGCTGAGCAGTGTTTACGCTGAGTCAAGGACTTTCCAGCTGCTCATGCTGCCCTACCAGTGAGTAGGCTGGAGGGGCAGAACAAGAAAATACCTTGCAACTGCCTTTTTTATCAGCAGTCTCAAAAGGGAGGCTGCCAACAAAACATGGCAGTAACATGAACCCTTTGAAGCTGCAGACCACATCTATGCTGCCAGCAACAGCATCAGACATTCAGCCAAGCTTTGGCTCTGGCACTGGAATTGCTGTGGGTGCAGTAGCACAGAGCTTGGCAGACATGGTGTTACTCCTTCCCTGGGTGGGCTCTGCTCCTCTCCCACCTCTGAATGCTGCTCACACATGTGCCCTGATCAGCCTGCTCTGCTTAGGGCTGTTTAGCAGCCTATAGACCCATACAGGATGGATTCCAGCCTCCCAAGGCATCAGCTTCCCTTTCTTTCAGACCTCCCAACTGCCCCCACACTGGATTAAGCATCAGACTCTTAATGGTGCAAACATCTGGCCTATGGATAAAGCTGCAGGATAACTGTTCCCAGCTGTTGTTCATGAAGCCGGATCAACATAGGACAAGTTAATCATCTGCTTTGCCTAATTCATCCCATTACTTGCAGGTTTGTAGCTTCATAGCGTGAAGAGGAACCTGATAGCCTGGCAACCTCCGAAGACCCAAAACCAGAGCACAGATGAGCATGCATACGTCTACTGATTGCTCATCAACCTGGACTTAATGCATTGACCAATATGCTTGACAGTAGCTGGGGAAAGTCGATCTTATTAGGTTGTATGAATTGGGCTACAGCTCTTTGGAAGCAGAGAATTACAGTAAAGCCTTTTGTGTAGCTGCTCCCCAAGTACCACTTAAACTTCATTCACATCAGATGAGCCAGAGACCTTAATTTGGGACTGGAAGAAGCAAATCTGGCCAAAGAGCACAGGATTTATTTTGTGCTTTCAGAGTGAACTGAATTTAAATACAGTTTTCCTTTTAAAACAGATGTATTTAATATCATGGGGAAAACCCTATGGTTGATTTAAGTCAATTTTGGGTGATGCAAACAGAGAAACCAGCAGTGGTGAACTTTTTGGAAGTCAAACTCTAGAACAGAAGCTGCTGCCTGAGCATCCAAGCATTTCAACTGACCAGGGTTGTGCATTTTAACTTGGGTTTTACTCCCAGGAGCATCCTCAACAGAACCATAGAGAACATTCCTGTTTACCCTAGGAGTTTAGTTGAGCAAATAATTGGTTTGAACCTGGGATAACTCCCATTTTAAACATAGCAGGAAGGTATAAAAGTGCATACAAAAAGACAACATCTGCCTGTTTTCATATACTGACTGTTCTGATTAAACTTATTTCCCCTCTTGTGCATTCATAACATTTAAGAGAAGGGATGGGATCCAAAAGGACCTGGACAGGATGGAGACGTGGGACCGTGTGAGCCTCATAGAGTTCCATAAGGGCAAGGGCAAGGTCCTGCTCCTGGGTCAGGGCAATCCCAGCACAAACCCAGGCTGGGGGAGACTGCATGGAGCAGCCTGAGGAGAAGGACTTGGGGTGCTGGGTGAGGAGAAGCTCCCCATGACCCTACTCTGCTTTGGGGAGACCCCTGGAGAGGGGCTTGGGACAAGGGCCTGTAGGGACAGGCCAAGGGGAATGGCTTGAACCTGCCCGAGGGGAGACTGAGCTGAGCTCTTAGGCAGAAGCTCTTCCCTGTGAGGGTGCTGAGGCGCTGGCACAGGGTGCCCAGAGAAGCTGTGGCTGCCCCATCCCTGGCAGTGCTCAAGGCCAGGTTGGACACAGGGGCTTGGAGCAAGCTGCTCCAGTGGAAGGGGTCCCTGCCCGTGGCAGGGGTTGGAACTGGATGAGTTTTAAGGTCCCTTCCAGCACAAACCAGTCTGGGATTCTGTGACTCTATGGAAAGCACTTCAATGGACTCATAAATAAATCTCTGTAGATGCAGTCTGAGTGTCTGTTTTGCCCAGCCTGGAAAAAACTCACAAGAGTACAAGTAATTACCCCCAAAGAAAGCATCAGTCACAATTTGCCAGCCCAAGTAAAACATTAAGAAATAGCTCATATATTACTGCCTACTTAACACTCTGAAAAAGGGGTATGGCTGCAGTCTACCCTTTTTAGCCCTGAAACTGCAGCATAATGGAAACGGTGAAGTTATAAATATGTTTAGATGGTTTTCACAGACACATGGATCCTTCCTCAAGACACACATCTATAAAGACAAGTTTTCACAGGATATTTCTGGTTACTTTTTCAGATAAAAAATGATAACTCAGATCATTCCCGTTACAAATAATCTACCCTGAGACAGGGATTTGATGAAGAACCAGAGAGATGTGTTGTGCCTTGTTCTGCTCAACAGCCTCATGAGGAACTGGAGAAAACTCTCTCTGTGTTAAAATCAAGTTCAAGGCCAGTTTGGACAGAGCTTTGGGTGCCATGGTTTAGTGTGAGGCATCCCTGCCCATGGCATGGGGTTGGAACTGGATGATCTTAAGGTCCTTTCCAACCCAAACCATCCTATGATTCCATGATTTCAGAGGCAACGCCTGGGATGGGGTTAACAGCCTGACCCCAGTGTCTTTCAGAGCATCTCATGAGTCACACAGAGCAGCAGAGCAACAACAATGTGTAATTTGGTAGGAGTGGACCACGATGACCTGTTAGGGGTCACAAAGTCCACCCCACAGCCTGCTTATGGCCTCTGATGCCTTTACATCCCACAATCAAGGCATTAAAGGCTGTAGTATCCCCTGAAATCCGAGTTAATGGATGCTGTGACAACAGGGTCTTCTGCTGCCAGATGTAATGGTATGTGGCCATTTACACAGTCATTGCTCCCAGTATTAATTTTACACATATGGCATTGCACTACTGGTTAACTTTATAGTGTAGCCTTCAATAGCCCATCTGTAAAACGTCCCTCATGACCAACACTATTGAAACCTGTATTAAAGACAGTGAAACGTGTGCAGCTACGTTAAGGAATAGTTGAGGAGTAAGAATGAACTGCAGAAACACACACAGAGCAAATAAAACAGCATAGAAAAGGAGATGAATTATTTAGGCTGGCACAATGAAGGACGCCTGAGTGGCAATAAAAGCAAGGCAGGGACTTGCTGCAAAGCATCAGGAAGAGCAGTCAGATTAAAAACCTCTTTGGCTTTCTGAGTGCTGCCCAAGAGAGCTGGTGAAAGCCCCATCAGTTACGAGAGACAGAGCAGGTAATGCATTATAGGAAGCAGTTCTGCATTGGGAAGGGCAGGATTGATTGCAGCTAAAAGGAGGGATGAAGAGGAGACATGTTTGGGCACCTGGGTGGCAGCTGGGGACTCCAAATGGGGCTCAGCAGGAGGAGATGGTGGCTTGCAGGATGGGGCCCCAGTCTGCTTCATTAGAGTGCATCAATGGCAAGCACAATCAAAGGTGCTCATTCTGCTCCCACACATCTCTTTGCTCCATCACATCTTACTGAAAACCACGTTTTGGGGTAAAAACTCCAATTTCTATGAAACACCCACGTCCTGAGACAAAAACCTTCATGAAGTTGTGAACCTCAGCACTTGCTGGGACTCTCCCTAGAGATGAGTTTTGTGCCTTATTCCTTATCCAGGGAATGATTTCACAGAGGAAATCCAGACCCTCAGCTATGCCTTAGTGCCCCACTGTGTTATAGGGCCTGTAGTCTGAAGCCTAGACATCACCCTGTAAGAGACAGGAGGAAAATACTACTAAAAGAAGGAAAATACCACAAAAAGAACAACAAGAGGAGGGCAGAAACAAAGGAAACAGCATTTAGGGGATAAAAAAGATTAAAAACCCAGTTAGCTGCTTACCAGCCAGCAGCAGCCAGCGGCACCCAGTGAGAGCGGAGTTTAAGGAAGGATTTGGGACCTAATCCATTGCAAGGACAGGCTTACCTTCCCTTTGCATCTCTGATGCACATTTACTTAGCTCAGCTCATCCTCAGCTGTAAATTAAATATTTAGAACATGGTTTCTACACTCTACATGCTCAGTTATAGTAATATTAGAGAGGAAAACCCACGTTTTCCCATCACTGCAGGATGGACCCATCCAGTTTCGGACCCTCACTGAATGTCAACCCTTATTGCAGCACTTAGAGGCTTATAATTCAGTGGGGGAAGCAGAGTGTGGCAAACCTGCCAGGAGCAATACATCCCAAAACACACCATTGGGAAGGGGGGAAGCAGCTGGTTTTTGTTTCAGGATCGCTGTGGTGCCTCTGGAACACTTCAGGCATGTTTGGGGAAAGGCAGCTTGGCACAAGGGACACGGGTGACAAGCTCCAGGAAGGGACTCCAATTCCCAGCAGGCACAAGGCAGGAAACAATGGCTCATTCTTCCCTTCTGGATCCACCCCGATCTGGGATCGATCTGCCAGCAGCTGTGATACCCAGTAATAGACACGCCGAGTATCCACCTTGGAAAGCAGCTTCTTAGCTGCCAGCTCTTTATATCTATCTCTCTCTATATAGGTATAGATATAGCCTTCTTATAGTGCTTCATTCCACACATAAACTCTCCTCTGCCAGGAACACACAAACAACAGGAAAGCATGAGCAGGAGTTTCCTGACATCCCTGCTTTACTGTGGGTGCAACGCCATGTGTTCATCCCTTCCCAAACCTGCACCTTGCTGCCTCTGAGCATCTCCTGGGCTGCTTGCATAAGGATGCAGGGCAATGCAAAAGGATGCGCATCCGGCTCTCTGCAGGATGCAAGCGTTAGGGAAGGGGGTAGGGACACAGGGGTAGGAAAACAGAGCTGGTGCCTAGTTAGTAAAAGGAAGCAGTGATATAAACCAAAGGTCAGGTTCCTTGGGAGAGAAGAGGAACGAAAGCAGCAGTGCACGGAGGAGGAGGAGAATGAGCTGAAGGTTAACTGCTACCGGCGGAGAGCAGCAGAACACAAGATGGAGGGGGAGAGGCAGGGCAGAGCCAGAGAGATGCGGCTGCAGTGAGGTTTGGAGGATAAAAGCCAAGGTGCTGCGGTGCTCAGTGCTCCCCTGGGGTGATCTCCAGCATGCCTGGGTCAGGGGCTGCTGTGCAGGCAGTGCAGACTGCAGGAGGGAGCCTGGCTGGGGGCTCATGGCAGCAGGAGCAGCACTTTTCCTTCCAAGCAGCTGATGTAACCCTTTGTACAGTCCAAGAAACCAATTTAATACCAGCCCAGCAACGGCTTTCACGGATTCCTCATTTCCTAGCATAGAATCCCAGAGTGGTTTGGGTTAGAAGGGGCCTTAAAGCTCCTCCAGCTCCAACCCCTGCCACGGGCAGGGACCCCTTCCACTGAAGCAGCTTGCTCCAAGCCCCTGGGTCCAACCTGGCCTTGAGCACTGCCAGGGATGGGGCAGCCACAGCTTCTGTGGGCACCCTGTGCCAGCGCCTCAGCACCCTCACAGGGAAGAGCTTCTGCCTAAGAGCTCAGCTCAGTCTCCCCTCAGGCAGGTTTAAGCCATTCCCCTTGGCCTGGCCCTACAGGCCCTTTTCCCAAGCCCCTCTCCAGCTTTCCTGCAGCCCCTTTAGGCACTGGAAGGCTGGCTGTCCAGCATCCTTAGAGTATCTTCCAGATGCTCTATTTCCTTCCTGGACCACTTCATCTGCACACGTGGCAGACCAGCACCTTCATCCTGCTTGATGCACACAGGGCTGTGCTCCTCCATCCAGCTTCCACCCCTTTTCCCACTGACACCTCCACTTCCAGGTCACCCCTGCAATTAGAGGGCAGCCGACTGCCAACACGGATGCAGCTGTACACTGGCAAAACCCACTTGGAACTACCTCTAACAAGGTAAGTGCCATCCAGAATTAACCCTTCCATAGGGTATATCTTACGCACATAGAATCATAGATGCAGAGGCATCCCTGTGTATGGATCTAGGCCTTGGATTAGCTAAATCACTGTAAATCCTTTGATTTTGGACTTATTTCACGGAAAGCAGAGGGGGGTATGTGCAAAGTTTGCAGAGTGGTGCTGAGCCCTACTCTGAGCCACAAATCGGCTTTTTCTCACACAGCCGTGCATTCACACCATTAAATCAGCTTACAATACTAAATTAACACCCCCAAATCCCCCCTGTGTGCGGGATCACCCGTTCTTCCCGCATCCCACTGAGCTCCTCCATGGAGCAGCAGCGCTGCCGCTCCGTGTCCCCCCCCATCCTTCATCCTCCCTCCCCTGTGCATAAGTTTCCCCATCTCGGGGAAGGGGGGGGTCGATCCCAGCGCTCCCCTCCCCTTTCCTTCCTGCATCCCTCCCTCCCTCCCGGTACCCACCTTCGCCCCTGCAGCCGCCGGCCCCGCCGCTCGCCGGGCGCTGCGGGAGGAGGAGGAGGAGGAGGAGGAGGAGGAGGAGAAGGAGGAGGAAGCGGGGGGCGGCCCGGCCCGGCCCGGCTGCACTGGGATTTGTAGTTCGCAGCGGGCTCGGCCCTGCCCCGGCGCTTCCCGCGGGACTGCGGCTCGCAGCCGGACACGGCGCAGGGAGACGGGAGCGGCCCCGGCCGCAGGTAACGCGGAGCGGGAGGGAAGCGGCTGCAGGGATGGGAGGGGGCAAAGGGGGCTTGGGAGGGGTGCGCCGGGGTGAAGGGTGAAGGAGGGTACTTGGTAAAGGGGTGCGGGAGGGATGCTCAGGGTGAGGGATGCAGAAGTAACGGGGAAACGGGTGAGGGAGGGATGCTCAAAGACAGGCATGAGATGCAGGAGGGATGCTCGGGGGTCGGGATGCTGGAGGGATGCTCAGAGTGAGGGATGCAGGACAGTTGGGTAAAGGGGTGCAGGGGGGATGCTTGGGTGAAGGATTCAGGAGGGGTGCTCGAGGAATGAGGCGCAGGAGGGATGCTTGGGGGTCGGGATGCTGGAGGGATGCTCAGAGTGAGGGATGCAGGACAGTTGGGTAAAGGGGTGCAGGAGGGATGCTCGGGGGTCGGGATGCTGGAGGGATGCTCAGAGTGAGGGATGCAGGACAGTTGGGTAAAGGGGTGCAGGTGGGATGTTCGGGTGAGGGATTCAGGAGGGGTGCTCGAAGGATGAGGTGCAGGAGGGATGCTCGGGGGTCGGGATGTTAGAGGGATGCTCAGGGTGAGGAATGAGGGAGGGGTACTTGAGTAAAGGGGTGCGGGAGAGATGCTCAAAGGGAGAGAGGAGATGCAGGAAGGATGCTCGGGGGTCGGGATGCTGGAGGGATGCTCAGGGTGAGGGATGCAGGACAGTTGGGTAAAGGGGTGCAGCAGGGATGCTCGGGTGGGGAATTCAGGAGGGGGGCTCAAAGGGAGGGGTGCTCGAGGGATGAGGCGCAGGAGGGATGCTCAGGGGTCGGGATGTTAGAGGGATGCTCAGGGTGAGGGATAAAGGAGGGGTACTTGGGTAAAGGGGTGCGGGAGGGATGCTCAAGGGTCAGGATGCAGAAGTCTTGGGGACAGGGATTCCGAAGGGGTTCTCAAAGGGAGAGATGCTTGAGGGAAGAGATACAGGAGGGATGCTTGGGGTTCGGGATGCTGAAGGATGCTCAGGGTGAGGGATGCAGGAGAGAGAGTTGGGTAAAGGGGTGCAGAAGGGGTGCTCAAAGAGAGGGATACTTGAAGACAGATGCAGGGGGATGCTCATGGGTCAGGACATTGGAACAATGCTCAGGGTGAGGGATGAAGGAGGGGTACTTAGGTAAAGGGGTGCGGGAGGGAAGTTCTGGGGAAAGGGGTGCAGGAGGGGTGCTCAAAGGGAGGAGTGCTAGAGCAAAGAGATGCTGGAGGGATGCAGGAGGGTGTGCAGGGGAAGAGATACACGAGAGATGCTCGGGGGTTGGGATGTTGGAGGATTGTTTGGGGGTCGGGATGCCAGAGGGGTGCTCAGAAGGGATGCAGGAGGGACATTTGGGAAAAGGGGTGCAGGAAGGATGATTGGGGTGAGGGATACAGGAGGGATGCTCAGGGGAAGAGATGCAGAAGAGAAGTCTTAAGGAAGGGGGTGCAGGAGGGATGCTCAAAGGAACAGATGCTTGAGGAATAGGTGCAGGAAGGAGACTCTTGGGTCGGGAGGCTCAGGGGTCAGGAAGCTGAGGGGTTTGGATGATGGAGTGATGCTTGGGGTGAAGGATGCACAAAGGGTGCTCAAGAAAAGGGGTTCAGGAGGGATGCTTCGGCATCAGGATGAAGAAGGGAAGTCTCAGGGAGGTGCAGAAGGGATGCTGAAAGGGAGGGATGCTCAATGAAAGAGATGCAGGAAGGATGCTTAGGGTTTGGAATGCTTGAGGTTGGGATGCTAGAAAGATGCTCAGGGAAAGGGGTGTATGAGGGATACTCAGAGGGAGGAATACTCAGTGGCTGGCATGCAGGAGTGATGCTCAGGGATTGGGATGCAGGAGGGAGTTGCAGGGAGGGGTGTCTGGGGGTCAGGATGCAGTCAGGGTTCTCAGGAGCTCTGATGCTCCGAGGGAAGGATGTTTGGGAGGGATACTCAGAGAGATGCTCAGAGGTTGGGATGTAGAAGTGGTTTTGGAGGGAGGTATGCAGGAGAGATGCTTGGATTAAGGGCTCCTCAGAGGGCTGAGATGCAGGAAGGATGTTCAGGAGGGAGGGATTCAGGAGAGGGGCTCAGGATTCAGGATTCCATGAGGGATCCTCAGAGAGTCTGTGGTCAGCATGCAGAGGGAACCCTGGAGGAGGGATGCTTCAGTGACAGGGTACAGGGGGATGCTTGGAGGGAGAGATACAGGATCACCATTGTTAGGTGGGGTTGTGTGTGCAGTCCCCTGGTGCCTGCAGGGCTTTGCAAACCTATCATGAGAAACTGGCCAAGACGGATCAGGTTTTCCCTAGGGAAGCTGACCTGAGGAGAGACACCCAGGAGTGCTCCCATCCCATAGGGAACTGCTTGCAGGTTACATCTGCCCTGGGTTGGGCTTTGCAGGAGTTACTGAAGGATAAAAGCACCACCAAACCCTTGGGGATGTCTGTATCTCCAAGCAGTGAGGCAGCATCTGATGGATCCCAGTGTTAACCCTCGCTCCAACATGCTTTGTCAAACAGGACGTGGTTTCCCCTTGGTCTGTATGCAGGGGTTTAGTTTCTTGACACAGACAAGAGCAGGCAGAAATCTGAAGGAAGAAGAGCGATGTTAATGCTATAAATACCTGCAGAAAACAGCCAGCTTTCCGGAGGAGATGTATTTACAGTCTCCAGGGATGATAATAGAAAGGACATTGGTCTGAAGGTCAGTGCAGGATGCAGGCACTCCTGGTATAAAGCCCTATGGAACAGGGGAGCACAGCTCTGGCTGAGAGCTCTGGAAAGCAGAAGGGGAAGATATGTTCCTGTGGGGAATGTGAGGAGGAGTGACCATCCTGGGATAAACTGACCTGGTGTGGGCAGGACAAAGCTTTGGGGCATCCAATGCTAAATGCATTCAGTAAGTTAAGAAGCAATTGGGATGGGTTATTTCTGCCTGTGGTTGGTGCTGGGCTTAGAGGTTTGTAATGGTGAGAGCAAGTCCTGCCCTTTCCGTGCCTTTCTCTGCTGCTGGTTTAAATGAAAGGGGAGAGGAATTTAATTCCTTGTGTCTTGCTTTCTGCATCCATAGCATAGTTATTAACATGCTAGTGATGGCTTTGAGATGCTTTATTAGACCAGGATACCAATAGGTATCAGAGATGCATGTATTAGAGATATTAGAGATGTGTATGTAGCTCTTGACTGGAGGGGAGGAACAGAGCTGGGAGGAGGAGGCTGAAGAAAGAGCGGGTGAGATGTCAGAGCCTTGGGCTTTATTTGGTATTACTGCACTGATCACTGACATCCAGCCAAAGCCTTTCTCTATTCAATGACTGAGTGCCCAAGAGCAAAAAGCAGAGAGCAAGAGAAGAAGCCGATCGATCTGTGTGCACCAAAGAAACCAAAGAAGAAGCACTGGGGAAGTAAGAGAGCAGGGTGGCTAAAGAGATGGGCTCAGGAAGGGCAGCAGCCCAGCATTGCTGTCCATGAGTTAAGGCCATGGTAAGTCACTTAGAGATGGCTGATAGAGCTGTATGGTGTCGTCAAGCATGTTTATAATGGCTTAGAGGAAAAAGGAATGATGAAATGCATGACACTGCAGAAGAAAGGAGAAGGGTCCTCAGTGGTCTAAACCATCTGATTTTATTATGGTAAAATTTTATATGGTAAGTTTAGGCTGATTGCCTTTTATTTGGGTAAGGGGCAATGGATTCAGTCTAAAACAGGGGAAGTTCAGGTTGGATGTAAGGGAGAAGCTCTTCCCTGTGAGGGTGCTGAGGCGCTGGCACAGGGTGCCCAGAGAAGCTGTGGCTGCCCCATCCCTGGCAGTGTTCAAGGCCAGGTTGGACACGGGCTTGGAGCAAGCTGCTCCAGTGGAAGGGGTCCCTGCTTGTGGCAGGGGTTGCAGCTGGATGAGCTTTGAGGGCCCTTCCAACCCAAACCAGTCTAGGATTCTATGATCCTATTGGAACCCATTGGAAATCTGTGCGGTCACAGGAGAGAATCTCACTGCTCCCAAGGTGGAGCTCCGGATGTACAGCAAATCCATGCAGAAATACCAGCATTTGAGTGATGATGCTCAGATAAATCTCCACTCTCTGGAGAGGCCAGAGAGCTGCAGAGCAGGGTGCAAGGTCCTGCAGAGCGTGGGGACAGCCTCCTACTGCTGCCTGTGACTAAAGGGGGATCTCCATCAGCGCTGTACTAAAGGGCGGCTGTGATTCAGAGCCGCAGAGGACAGGAAAGCACGAGGAGCCTTGCCAGCCAGAAGTAATTAGCTCTAGTGAGTAGGAGACACACAACACAAGTACAGTCTGTCACTGGAAAGCAGTTTGGGACAGGAAGAGAAGAATATGTGATCCCCTTGAAAAGAGAAGGGAAATTTAGGACGGCAGATTATAATTACACACGAAAATGTTTGGCCAGGCTTCCGTGCTGGCACTTTTTCCCTGTTACGACTGCAGATGGGGAGAGCCACACTTCTGTTTCCAAAGGGGTATTTAATTGGGTTTTTCTGGAGTTATTAGGTCTGAGCTTCTGCCCAGACCTCATAGAAATGGGCGTGATCCTCTTCTGTGCCATGGCACTTGATGGGTGCGACTCAGAGAGCAGTTGAAGTGAGCAAAGTAAGGTGGAGCATTGCCATTAATGTACTTGCAGGTCTGGAGAGGTTTGGTTGCTGGCTCTGCCATAACCTACTGCATCTCCTGCAGCCCTGATCCAGCTCTGGGGCAGCAGCACAAGAGGGACGTGGAGCTGTTGGAGTGAGTCAAGAGGAGGCCATGGAGCTGCTGCGAGGGCTGGAGCAGCTCTGCTCTGGAGCCAGGCTGAGAGAGCTGGGCTGGGGCAGCCTGGAGAAGAGAAG